ACATTGGACACTGTTAAGATACAGCTGGACAGGGTGCTGGGCCATCTTGTCTAGACCGTGCTTTTGCCAGAAAGCTTGGACCAGATGATCTCTGAGGTCCCTTCCAACCTGATATTTGATTCTGTGATAACATTGCGGTGTCCTAAAAACTCCAGTCTGACCTTCTATACATACTGTCTCTAAGGAAAACAGATTTTAACCTGGGTCTTTTGGTTCTCTCTCATAAGCATCCGTAATAAGAGCCCTTCAGGCATTTTCTCTCCCCATGCAACTTCACTGCCCTCAGTGCGTTTTCACTGCTGTAACCAATTTGTTCTATAATTAGAATTTAATAAACAATCTCTTATGATGCACAGGAAGGGAAATAATTCACCTTTCCTCTCTTGCATAGGCTTCTCAGTGATAACAAGAGTGAAAAAAGGGAAGAAAACACTACATTTGACACTAGATCAGGAACATGTAATTGTGGACACAGGTAACCATTCTTAGGTACAGGGAGCTCTTATTTGTATGCAGTGACTTCAAAGTAGGAAAAATACTTCAAATAAAACTATAGTACTAACTAGTACTGCTTTCCTTAACTGACAGAATACTTTTATCAGCCAATACTTTTATCAGCCACTTTTATCATATACTCCTTCAAAATAAATTTTAGAAACCCACCAAAATAAACCTACACTTTCATGCTTGAGTTTTCAGCAGAACATCTGGACTACTCAAATACGTTGTGTGGCACAGTAAGTGCTAATAACCACAAGAATATCCTACAATGGGTTGAAAACTTCTGCTGGTCTTCTAAGAAAGCACTTTTTGCTAAAAATTTCATAGTAACAACAAAACAAGCTGTGGTTGTTCGTAACTTTTTTGGTACATTTAATGTTAAGTGGCAAATTGTTCTGAACCAACAAATATTGTGCAAGGCAGCAGTCTGCGTCTTCCCCACTTTGAATTGTTTCATTACGTTAGATGGCAGTTAAGAAAATGAGCAACAGTAATTTGTGAAAAGTGTGAAAATTTAGATGGCTTTAAAATAATCATAGCTTTGTTTTAACTACAATTCCAACTGCTAAGCTTTCTGATAACTGAGGACTCCAAAATGCAACTACTAGCTAAGCCTGGGAATTCTAACTCATCTCTCTCTCTCTCTCTCTCTCTGTATATATATATATATATATATATATATATATATATATGTACAGGTCAATTCCAACTCTAAAGACCAGGTTATAGTGTCTGTACCATGGAGTTGTTATCAAAACTTTAACTGACTTCTACAAGCCAAGTAAGTATGCCATATGGGTGCAAAACGCTTTGTCTTAAAGGGAAATTCTGGTTTGAGACTGCAGAGCTTTTTGAAAAAAGTTTTTACCACAAAATGTTAATAGTTTTACTAAATAATATATATAAATATTGTGCAGAAGATCCTCTTTTGACACAAAAAATTAGGCAGGCGAGTTATTGCACTAATCCTCCTGAATACAGCTTTTGATTTAGAAGAACGATTTGTTTAATAAAGATTCTGGAGATTAAAAACACCCCTAGATATTTTGAAGCATGATCTCCTGATGATAAATGAAGATGACAGAATCCATTCTCTATGCTACAATTAGTGCTCATCTTCAAAAATACCATCATGAATCAGCCTCCACACTTACAAAATTTGTTTCCATCTCATCTGCTTCCGGGGTTTCGGTTCTTTTGAGAAGCCTTGATGTCTTTTAAATAAAGAAGAAACAAAGGACTGCATGTTTTGAAATACTTGAAATAAATAAGGAACAATTTCTTGACATATTTTTTTCATATATTTTGCAATCTAAATGCTTTTAATATAAAATAATTTATAACTAGAGCAGTTTTTGAATGTTAATCATAGCATATATACAAGGTTGTGCAAAAGAGCAAGCAAAATCCCTGAAAATATATTAGCAATAGCTTTGTTCTTGACTTAGTGGTTATTTTACTAGACAATCTCTATGCTCCATTTGAATTCCAACACTTTGGTTAGTCTTCTGCTGTCATGATAGAAGACAGATATGAAGACTATAGCTTCTGGTATTACTAGAGTTTTACTCTTTTTTCTGTATATATTTTCTTAAGAATGCTGACTAAATTTTTAATCCCAGAAGCAGTATTTTGCAATTCATTTGAATTCATGAATCAACATTTTCTTCCAGTGCCTACTGACAATATTCCTCTTGGTTTAGATATGGCAGTGAAGAAAAACCAAACCCCAACAGCTATTTTCGGGAGAAGCTTCGTTTCTGAGGCTTTTTTTGTTCAAAATTCCCATCTGGGATACAGTTAACATACCATGAGATGGCTTACCATGTCTGTGCTGTTCTCTGTCCCTGCAGACCGGGTGCTACTGATCTTCGTAGTAAGTCCAGTGCTCCCCTAGGAGCTTGGACTCCCTCTACATGTGAATACCATTCTTATGGCACATGCTTAGTATGGCAGGACTTTTTAAAAGGACTTCTCTTCATTACATGTACACCACACAAATCATCTATACCTAAGACATGGGAGCCCTAGGCTGGGTCCACATGCAGAGACATTGCTGGTCATTCTTTATCTTTGCACCTCTCTGCTCCTGTATGAAGCTCCATTGGCAAGCATTCCAACACCAATGTGTTAATGGAATGAAGCATTAAAAAATGCACAAATTAACCATCCTGATAGCAAATTAATTAATGCAAATAAATGCAAATCCAATGCATTACCCTGGCATGGCATGCTAATGAGAAAACAAGTCATTTAGTCAATCAAGGAAATATGCAAATAAAAAACCTCGTTTTTTAAGGTGCTTTGATGCAGAAGTCTAAAACAAATTAAATACTTCAACTGTATTTTGGGGGCATAAATTATTATTTATGTAGTTTGCAATAAGAATATTTTACCCTGTGTTTTTATTCCTTACAAACCTGGCAACAGATATACAACAAAATGTATTTTCTGTTTAGAAATGCTGCAGAAAGGTATTTTTCACACTAATGTGAAGTTTGAAACTTACTGCAGAAAAACCCCCAAACAATTATAATGTATTCTCAGGATACTGTGTTGAAGGTAATTTTGCAATTTTAACGTTATCTAATGCCAAATGGTACAACCAAGCAGTTCGAACTTCTCAAAAGATAACAAACAGCTCATCCTTCTGAGACTCGCTGTTGCAAACAATATTTGCCTTTTTCAGTATGTGCACCTGAGGACCAGTATTATGGGCCAAGCGTCAGATGATAAGTTGCTACAGAAGATCTGCTGCCTCCATGGAAATCATTGAACAGATGTTTTTTGTGGATTATAAGCATGTATTATTAAACACACCACGTATCAAAAAGGGTCAGAGCCCCGTGAAAAGTACTGGTCATTACCTGCAGTAAGAAACAGGATCAAGTGATGTAATCAAAGTTTCAGAATTAATTGCTGAAATACCAGGACTGACTGAAGCAAGACACCAACATTGTTAAATACCACTGTGCAAAGCTGCTGTAAAGAAGAGATAACAACACTAGATACTATTCCTTTCTGAAAAGTAAGTTTCAGGTTAGGGACTAAAAGGTACCAAAAATGACTTACTGCTTGTTTAAGATTTTCACTGTTACCTGCTACGTCTCTTTTTTAGGATACACTAATTTGTAAAACATTTGAAAAGTAGCCATCTGAATAGTTTACTATTGTTGTTAAATTGCATCTAAAGAAGCAGAAGCTAATACTTTTATGTTGAGAAATGGATAAGCAACTTGCTGGTAAAGCCTATGCCTTCCCATGAGTCTAATATGGTGTGAGACAGCAAAATTATACCACACTAAGATGTTAAACAGTGAAGTTCAATCAATAGCTATGACATGCTTAACCCAAATACTTTTCTCTGATTGTATTTGGACATTAATGGAAAAGGAATTACTACTTTATAAAGAAAATAATATACTTCCTAGTAGATGGACAGTCACTCACTGGGCTTTCTTCCATGGACTATTACCTGCTCAAGATCTATGTTGCTGTCTCCACAATACCTGTAACTATGACAAAATACATGGCATTTTCTCTATAGCTGATCTGGCAAAAATAGAGATTTTTAAGCACAGAAGTGAACCTAGTGATGTAAAAGGGAATATTAACATACTTAAAATTATATGTTTCTAAGTAACAGCAGAACAGATGTCTAGTTTTTCCTCTACTCTTGTGTTTCAAAGGACTTTGCATTCTTTGCAAGTTCAAATTTCTGATTTTTATTACTACTTGGTACTTCCTCGTGATCTAAAAAAATGACCATTGCTCTCTATAGTGTTTTCCATTTAATGGAAGAAATAGCGTTCAGAATTTGCATTTGAAATCGTCTTATTTCATTCACCTGAAACAGCACAATGTAACTGAGGTTTCCATAGCCTGAGAGACATTTTTTCAGGTGAAATAAATATTCAATTTTTTTGTGTACAAATGGAGGAATGCTGAAAAACTGTGTTTATTAATGTTCTTTCATTACTTGCCATCTATAATTATGCTGTATCTACACCAGCACATTTCCTTGGTACCTTCTCCCCAGCACAACTAAAATTAAGGGTGGAGGGGACTCTTTTTAAGTAGAATAACTTGAAGATCCGGCAGCATCACACATTTTCCAAGGTCAGAAGAGAAAGATAATGGAAAAAAATAGTCAAGCATTTTAAAGCTGGTGTAATTCTATAAAAAGGACTGTGAATTCATGGAGGGCAGGAGATGAACATGCTGTTCACCTGTAGCTCTGCAGTATAATTTTCATATCAAGTGTTAATGACAGGGAACCTCCCTAGAGATTTATTCATTCATTTTCTTCCAGGTACAGCATATTAGTTGAAGACTTTCTGCACAGCCACGTTGCCATGATGTGAATTACAATTAATGCTAAGCAGCCAGGGGTTGTTTGTTAGATTATTAGAGCCAGTGAAGCTGAATGAGTCATTCTATGCTATTTACAGAAAGAAGGCAAGCAATTCATCACAGAACAGATGCTAATGATAGGCTACCTGGATCCCTATAGAGGAACGTCGACTCTTAAGAAACTCCTCTGCTTTTGTCACTAAAATGGCCTTGTCACTGGTTCGTATCGAGGTGCTCTGGCTTTCAGAGGCATGGCGCTGCGCAGCCGCAGTTTCCAAGGCGAGATTCATGGCCTTGTTACTGTCCAAACTGTCGGTGGAGTTGTACATCCCTCGCCCATCCTGTGGCCACGGGGAAATCCTCTGAGTCCGGCTGTCGTGATATGCATCCTGGGTGGATTCTGTGCTGCTCTGTGCTGTGACTGAGATCAGTGGCTTGGAAGTGGTACGAGGGGGTACCGGTGGCGGTGTTTTTTTGTAACTTGTGTAAGTTACGGCTATGGAAAGAATTAAAAAAAAAAGAAAAAAAGAAAAAAAATCAAGATTAATCTGATGGAAATTTCACAACAGAAATCACCTTAACATTAAGATTATGCTACTTAAAAATGAAGACAGTGCAACACAGCACTCTTTGTGAACCTCATTATTAGTTGAAAGTGTCTCTCAGAGTCAGATGAATATCCCCAGCACCATTTTATTTCAACCAGGAAGCAAGGGGTGGAAATTGGAGTCCCAGATTACAGTGAAGAAGAAAGTGAGGATTTGTGTGCATTAAGACTTGTGCTGGGTAGGTACACACTGGGGCTTCTAAGGTCATTTCTGCTGTACTCTGTATTGATACAGTATATTAAGAAAGTAGCATCAACATACTGCAACAAAATATTATTCAGAAACTTCTACATTACAGTATGCCACACTTTAATCTTTAAAAATACTTGCAGGTGTACTGACTGGAAGTGGGCAAGATTGTTTACTTACAGAAGAAGTATATGATTTAAAAATATCCATAATATGGTGAATAAAAGGAAATCCCAGGCATGCAGAAAATGTTACAATATGTGCAAAGCTACTAGACACTTGGACAACAAGCAAAAAATACATGTAATACCAAGTGAGTTTTGTCTATTATACTTCAGTAAGCCTTAAATCCTTAGAACATACACTGAAGGGGTATATACCTAAATACAATGAATATGGAAATATGGATATCAAAAAGGGTCTAAAACACTGGGAGAACTAGTTATGCATAAACAGAACTAAGACTTTTAGTCTGATGAACAGAACAGGTCTGAGGCTGGTTTAACATAAATGTTGTCTTGCAGCAAAAGGCTCAATAGAACATCCAAGGAAGTTCTACAGATGCAGAATTGTGCCACTACTGCTTCCTTACAAAATTTTAGATTTCATAGAGATAGATATTTAGTCATTAATATCACACAGCTGAATTTTCTAATTGTCTAAGCCCACTATACTTATTTGGTAATAATAAGATCATTTATGTTATGGAACAGGTTTTTTTCCCCAAAGCATAAAATTTGCAATTGATACAAAAATGCATTGTGATATAGCTTTCCCTATTCCCATACAGGAAAATCAAGTCCAATTAATTTCTTGTATAATTTCAGAAAGATAGAGAAAATTATTCTGTTTCCCCATATCAATAATGCTGAAGTAGCATAATGTAAGATGCAGAGATCAGGACAATGAATGACTTAAGTTTTGCCTTCTTCTGTTGTTAAATGTATTGGACATTCCAACAGTGACTCAGAAAACCTTGGGATTCGGGTTACTTGAGTCCAAAAAGGATTCTACAAGAGTTCCTCTTTCCATTATACAAATATGGGCTGATGAGCAATGCAGTCAGAAAGAGTGCCTCTCTCATCATGATTTATGAAATGAGGCTATGTTGTAGCTCTCTGGAGAGAAGAGACCAGTTTAGGAATTTGATAATACCTGGGACTGCTGAGCCTGTATCACCAGTTTAACCTATGGGAAAAGTGAGACTAGAGAAGACTGCTTTTAAATTTTCTTTCTTGATAATCATAAATAAAAGGGTGATCATAAATAAAAGAGCACTAGGCAGAGCTAGGAATTGAAAACCTTCCTTTGAAGCACATTTTGAATTACTACTGACACTGCTCAATTCTGGTACAGATTTAGAGAGTCTTGCTCTGAGCTAAATTGCTCTAACAGATTGAGACACGTGAAAACATGCTCTTCAGATTCTGAGACTGTGTGCTTTTTTTGAAGTGCTATCTTTTTGTCCTATCACCAATCTTATCTCCTGTCAGTTTTGTAACCAGCAGTTAAGAAGAAAGAAAAAACCAATATTTTTCAGATGCTTTAGGGTATACAGAAAGTTCATGAAAGAAGGGAGAGGCTGTAAAGCTTGGAAATTAAGAGAGTGTCCTATGAGCTCAAGCAGTGGCTCTAAGGATTGTCCACTAAGAGAGCTGCCATAAAATACTGCTCCCCCACCTTCCCCCTGAAAACGTAGATGCAAGTGATCAAAGTGCTGGGAAACATTAGAAATAGAGACAATGGGGTGAGATAGGGTGAACAAAATCCAGAACAGAAAGATATTTTTACCTGTAAAACTGGTTATCACTGTTTTAACTAATTTACTGTCTTTCACTGTCTGTCTTCATGCAAATAATGAATAATGAAACATGGTAAATATGATAGTGAAACATCACAAGCAAGTATGTCCCTACTCCTCAGGCAGCAGATCACTTCTCTGTCTAATGCATATAAATTTTAAACTTCCGTTGCAACCTTTCATAGCTAACTTAATCTTCATTTACATTTCTAAAAAAGAAAAATTCTTGTAGTAAAACCAAAACAGTCACTTGCTTTTTCTTTTTTTCCCCTAGGATTGAATATGTTATTCTGGAAATTTCTAATTGTTTCAATAGAGTGACATCTCTTGAAGCCACTAAGTATTACAGTTACTGCAGTATTCTGGCAAGCACTTGATCATGAACACTAAACGGGAATTTAAAAACCAACAGATGTTCAATAAGGAGAAGAAATCAGGAGAAAGACTGAAAGTTTGTGAGAAACTGGCAACGCATTTACGGTGAAATACGGCATGAAGAAATATGACTAATTTCTAAGCTACAGTTACAGAGATCAAATATTGAGCAGAAAAAAAAAAAAAATCCATCTCTACAGAGTTAATGAATACATATTTGGAACAACAGTTTCAGAGCCCAGAGACCTGGGACTAATTGGAGACTATAACAAAACCAGGTAAGAGGATGGAAGTGTGAACTTGTGAGGCAAATCTTGCCACCAAATTCTATTTGCTTTAATCACTCAAGCAGTTCTACTGAAGTAAATGGGATAGCTTAGATGAATAATGTAAGCAAGACTTGTCTTAGATAAACTTGGTATGTGTTGCTGACTTAAGAGATGACTACATAACAGATTAGGGGCTTGTTAAAGGAGAAAAGTAACCCTGTAATCCATAGTTTACTGTTCATGCTTGCTCTTAAGTCTCTAATAAATAAGTACTGGCTTAAGGTCTGATGTGTGAAATTTTATGTCACTTTCGAGGTTTTTTTCTTTTAGTTGTTATGTCTGTGAATGTTCCTGTTATCATCAGTGTTGATGATAGGGCCAATTCTATTGATGATAAGGCCTAGCAGTCATACATACCACGTTATATATGGGAGGAAACGTTTCCTTTTCCTAATAGAAAATTAAGTTCATTTTCATTTATCATCCCCATTTATCATGCTGATGGACAGGAGCTCCTGACAGCTTTGCATTGTTTGCTACTTCTCAAAATTTCTTGGCCTTAGTGGTCATTATTTCAAAGTAAGCAACATAAACCTCCTCAGCGCTCCTTCATGCCTTCCCCATTTTTTAGTCCACCGTTCTACAAACTCCAGAGCTGTGGTGGGTTTTGCCATCTCTGCAGGGAGGGCTGGTGGTGGGCAGTGCAGCCCCTGGGCACCAAGCGCTGGCCAAGGACAGTGCCCGAGTAACTCCATCCAGAGCACTGGTGCTGAAAGCTGAACTGGGAAAAAGGAGACTGGGATGGAGGATCCTTGTCTTCAGTCGCAGCAGGACAGGCTGTGTGTCAGAGCCAGCACGACAGCTGGGGGCGAAGCACAGAGTGAGGACAGGGAGTGCAAAAGCAGAGTGCCAGGAGGGCAGAGCTGCTGCAGTCTGACTTTAGACTGATCTAAAATGTGGACTTTGGCAGAAGCAGAGACATGCTTCGTGTTTTGACATCTAAAACATCAATCCTGGATAATCTTCTATTGTTTCTGTGGCTCACAGAAGATGACCAAAGATTTCTGATTTCTTTAGTTTTCCGAGTAGTTTTAGTGTGTATATGCTGGGCAGTCCTGATATTTCTCTCACCAATTCTGCTGCTGAGCAGTGAGACTCAGGCAAAGTAAAAGCAACACCCTTCTGCCATGCTGTTAATCAATTTGTAAAATCTATAGCTGCTCTTAAATGCAAAGTAAAGTAGATGGCACAAGAGGTAAATATATCATTTTAATTTTTAAACTAAACACAGAAGGAATTATGAAAAAGAAACTTTCAGTTGTATTCAAAGGCTATCTTAACATGGAAAAAATTATTTTTTGTCTTTTTTAATAAAGTGGGAAAAATATATATTTTTTTAGCTCATAAAATGCAGTCTATCTCCATCTTTTAGCTTATGATCATCAACCAAAAATGATAAAAATGCTAAAAACCTGTTCTAATTCTAAACTATTATGGGTATTTTAGACTTCCATTTGAATCAAAGTATTAACTGTTCAGGTACTTGCCTTGCTTCAACATAAGCATCAGCAATTAGCTTTACTGTATTTTCCTTTAAGGAAGGACATTCTTAGAGAAATGGATTGAAAACACACAAAATGGCTTCTGTGCTGCTTCATAGTGGGCTAGACTAAACGATGATGAAAACCAGGTATAAGTTGTTAAGGAGAAAGGAGCAGGTAGCAATGCAGCATAACATGCATTAATTTGTCATTCAGGCAGGAAAACATTGAACACATCAATTTGTTTTTGTAAGGATCATTGCCTTTATATAAAGACTGTCGTGCCCATTTACACCAACTCCAGTTATCTTCTCCTAGCACATACATATGACTTACATTTGATACCTTAACTACCAGATGACCCTCGCATATACAAGATTGCCTATCAGTGATGAACTTGGCACAGAGATGGCTACAAGTGACCTGTTTTGTAAATGGAATTAATTTTTCCTATGTGCTTTGTGGTCCCAGTCAGGAAGCACCAGTCAGAACCAGAGCATCAGACATTATGGACACACTGCAGAGTAACCAGGAAGACAATCCCAGCACTGGAGAACTGATAATTTGATGGTTTGGACACATACAAGAGAAATCCAAGGAAAGCTTCCTGGTAATTCATAAGTAACAGGATTTTTTTTTTTTTTAAATTTAATTAATATAACTGGAAGTGAATATTCGTCTTAATCTACACTGAATTTCATTAAACTTGCCTA